TTAATCTTATTAATTATAACTTATATTAAGGTCTTAATATAAGCACTATTGTGGTCCATTCACCCTGTCGCACGAAATTATAATTCGGAGCAATCCTCTGCGAAAACTTGAGGTACAAAAAATTAGACATTTTGCATAGGCAAGAAAGAGTACTGAAAATAAACCTATCTTCAGTAGGTAAAGTATGAAAAACAAAAATGATTAAATTGTGGATTCATTTAAATGAAAATGGCATTTACTCTTTTTAGATCTTATAAAAAGTATCATCATACATTTTGCTGTGATATCTTCATTTTTAATGAGATTGTATGCTCTACTAAGGAACTATTTCTTTAACAAATTTTAATATCAGCCCTAGCAAAATTAGTGTAGCCTAACTCACCTCATTTTCTGGAAGACTAAATTCGTTTTCAGAAACTTCTCGATCCTTAATTGCCGGCATTCTGTCTTTAATCTCTGAATTTTCTTGCCTCTCCATTCTTTCATTCAAGGTTTTTTCTCCTTTCCATGTAATTTCATTATGGTTCATTGGTCTCTCTCCTTCCAAATCAGTAGTTATCTCAATTGAGTGCTTTCTCTCTTCCTTATCAAAATTTTCTTTTACATCGTTTTTGTTCTCCTCAAATATATCTTCTCCTTTGCTTGGCAGAACACGTCGTCTGGTAGAGCCAGGTCGATGATTCATTGTATTCACTGGAGTAATTTCTTCATGCATTTCAAGGAGGGCTGGATTATCTCTTCGCTTTGGCAGCCCTTGAACGTTACTTCCTTCAAAAAAATTGTCATTTGTATTTACTACACGGGGAGCAAACTTAGGTCGCCGGATTGCTTGCGGAGAGGCCTCTTCGATTTCTAAGGAACCACAGATGGATCTGTTTACCGATATAAGAAAAATGCATTTAATTTACTTTTAAATGAACAATCAATGTTCAGTTATTCATAGAAAATGCACATTAAACAAAATCCAATTTAGCAAAATACTAGCAATGGTTCTATGATTAATGATAAGGTACGCTGTGCTTAAATCTATTCTGACAAATCCGAGTAAAAAGATTTATTGAGATGGTAATGATGGTATAAACTTACAGGACTAAAGATAAAGCATTTACTGTAGAATGCATCAGACAGGCGTAGCCCTAACAAGTATGTTTTGCCTTTACAATTTTAATCCTTCTAATTATTTGTAGTTAAGCAATGAGTTTAGGCAACTACCAATAGTTTAAATATATTTTTAGTAAAAATCCAATTGAGATCTGCAAATACATAATTCTGGAACAAGGTTGATTGACTTGATCTTAAAAACTAACTTTTCTTTTAAGCTTTTTGAACCTGAATTTGATACTCGTTCTGTTAGCTTTCATTAACCTGATTTTTTTCATTCTCCACGATATACTCATGGTGTTAGACATGTAAGCGACTATGCCAATGACAGTTAAAGAAATATTTAAATTTAACCATTAAATTAAATATGCTAATCCGCAAAATGTTTATTAGGTATTACCCTCCAGCAGCCCCAGGGGTACTTTAATCAAGGGTCAAGGATTCAAAGAAAAGCAAATTATTCAATAAATCTGAATAAACTGACACGAAGGATTCTAATTGCACACCGTGCTTTTATAGCAAACTAGGCTGCATTCGAAGAAAATCTTAGATGGAGAATTAACATGGATAGGTTGCCGTGCGATGTCCATTAAACTAAGGATATTACTGACATTCTAACCTTTATGGCTTACGGTGAAATAAATATATGTGCATAAATAAGACATCATTTCAATTAATTGAGAGCGGAATCGTCAGAATTCCATATAAAACCACAGGTAAATTTTGAATTTTGTCATAAAGGTAACAATAAAGGAAAATATCTCAATCAGACAAACTTTTTTTATAAATATTGGAGATAAGTGATTCAAATTAATGGTTTTGTAAAATGAAAAATATGACCCTATATTGGGACATAAATTCTGATTATTATTATTCATATAAATCGCTTAATTGCTAGTAAAAATTCGGATAATATTTATAAAATATCAGTTACTAATTTAATGTTTTTTTGCATGTTGCGATGCTTACTTTCTTGGCTTATTTAGTAGTTATATGTTTGCTTAATACTCAAAAAATGAAGGAACTAGCTTATATTTTTATTACTTGTTAATTCATAGAGTGATAATAATATTTATATAATATATATATATATATTAATAAACCAACATGAGAATAAATTTGTTTGGGAAGATGGTATAGGTCAAAAGAGGCAGAATTTATGAAGAAAAAAGTAGGTATACCTTAAAATTAACAATAGGATCACTCTGGTTTGCTTGAGGAGGTAAGAGACGATATAGTTACCTTATCCATAATAAAATTTGTAGAATGCCTAGGTTTACTGTTAAATTACACTCGTTCTTACCCCAGAAATCGGCTTATTTCAGGCTTGACTGAAGTTTCGACCTCATTCGAGCTTCATCAAGACTAATAACAAAGTTAGATTTTGGGTTATGCGCATTAAGCAATAACACGTTATCACCCAACCAGGCATCCGGAATTCGAGGTAGCCACACAGGAATAAGTGATAATTTGGAA